GATATATAATATATTTAGGGGTCGTTTGGAAGTTGTGATTGTTAGAGTTGTGTTTGTTGAATACATGTATTGTGCACAATACAATGTTTGGAAGTGTCAAAGTGTTAAACAATGCAAGCATTGTTGTAGGTAGGTCCCACCAACAATCACAAAAAATGATGCATTATACAATCTCAGCTAAAAGTTGAGATTGTTGATTTTATATTTGTGTCAACTTTTTCTTTCCATTTATACCCCCAACAGTTTTTGTCTTATTATAAAAGTTTATGGTAAATGTGACATTTTCCCATTAAAGTAACTTTATGTAAATCAATGCATAAAGTAGAATCTCAACAACCAAACTATGTATTGTTAAATGCATCCATTGTACAATACATGCATTTATATTATGATGATTCATTACAATGCAACGATTTAACCATGAGGGGGAAAAAAATTGATGTAAGCATATAATCTCACAAATTGTGACCGGGGTGAAATTCCCCGAACGTGATGTTTAACTGCAGAAGCCGCATCCGTGTGCCCTTCCATACCCAATAGGAAGGCAATAATCTCACATGAGTTCGCTGCTACATTTATGTAGCGTAGCCAAGTAGTTGAGATTTAGTACTGTCGACCAGTAACTCCCAATCTTCTGGAGAGTACTATATAGTTACTTAGCAACCCCTTCACTCAATACAGACAAGCGACTGTTCATCCACATGATCAAATGCCTGCCCGCTAAATTGCACCACTACTAGCCCTGATCGACCAGAAACCGTGTCCATCACAAGATTAAAACGTGTGATTGTCACCATTCAAATTCGACTGCAGGTTGGTTATATTCTTCCCCACAACCACAAATCCTCTCTCTTTCTAGTCCACGGTCTAGCCCAACAAGATGTCAGCCTCTGGAATCTGCTGGGCCGGAGTTTGATGAGCGTCTGTCTTTGTGTTTGATCCCTCTGTCTCTATCGCATTTTGTCGCCATCTCTTTGTTTGCAACTTTGTATAATGAATCGATCGCAAGTTAACGTTGTGGACGTGACACGTTCCATGTGGGTGGTCTGGTCTTTTCATGGAAATTAAGCTCTACACCAAATCCCACTATAACGCTGTTTAGCTTTTGACCAACTCGATCGATCTGCCATCTTGTCCTTACGTTTATCGCACTAGTCATCCTCCCCAACATCGATCGATCTATACCGTTGAAAGCTAGCTAACTGTAAAATACACGACAACCCAGCAGGCTTAGCAGTTAGTGACTTAGACGACGGCAGATCGAGCGTGGACGCCAATCTATGTATGGAGTAGTTGGAACCTAAAACCCTTCCTACCTTGCTACTTGCTATTAGCCAATTGGTACTGGCCGCCTTTGTTTTTAACTGATTTAGAAAACCACAAAAGTTTATAGACCTTTTTAAGTTGGAAAATTAGACCGCTCTAAGGAGTTAGAAATTGGAGAAAGCATTTCCTCTGTTTTCATTCATTTTTCTTGTTTATGAATATCCCTATGTTTGGCCCGGCTTTTAGAAGTGCTTTTCGGGTTCAAAAGTTGAAGTAGGGTCAAACACCTGTAAAAGTTCGGCTTTTGAAAAGCCGAAAAGCGCTTTTGTATAATATAAAAGCAGAAGCCCTGATTTGGAGCTTCTGCGAAAAGCTGTTTTGAAAATACAAGATTATCCTTATCATATTTTAATTTTATTTCAGAAAATATAATTTTCCTTCATTTATATCATTTTAAAAATAAAATAAATTATAAAACATATTTTTTAATATAAAAGAAATCTAACAAGATCCTTTTTGACTACTTTTTATTGTTTAGAATTTTTATTCATGTTTTATATTATAAGTCCTTTATACTCATTTTACATAACCTCTTATATTAAAAATCACTTCTAATAGTTTTACAGCCAAACACTCAACTTTTTTTTTTAAAGTACTTATCTAACAGCTCCAGCCAGAAGCTGCTTCTGCAAAAGCTACAGCAGGGCCAAACTAAGCTTATATTTGTAAGAAAGAAAAAAATATTAGTGGCTTGAATTGTAGATATATAATGTTTGATCATGCTCAACCTAACAATTTGATAGGATTGGAGAATTAGCAAACCCTCAAACTCTTCTTCCATTATATAGGATTGTGTTATGCTAATAAAAAACACAACAGAGTTAACCAAGTGGCAGAATGTCATTGACTATTACAAACTGTAAATAGTGTTTAATAACGACTAATAAGTCTTAATCAAAATGACAACGATCGAAATAAAACAAGACAACATAAAACGAAACTTCAGCAGCGACATTTCTTCCTCCGAAACTCCTTCTTCTCTGCTCGAATCCATACAACACAAGGATTAATTTCTTCTGCTACTTTCCTTCTTCACGTGGTTGACACAACCTAATCATATCATATTAGTATATGAATCGGCTCACATAAATCACGCATTATGTTTATTTCTTGTCATGATTTTTTTTTAAATATAAGAAAAAATTATACAAGGCCAAATTTACTTTTGGTATGATTCTAATCCTCTCATTTCCTTGATATTTGCCTCAACAATATCCTTGACTTATTCTACTTCTACACCAGATCTTGCCATGTCCACCCTGCTCGAACTTGAGGAAATATTTCTTACCAATGTGTTACTATTACTTGTTTAAGGGGTAATTCTTGTTTTTTTTTTTTTTAAAATTTCTCTTCTTAGTTACTGGGAATTTTGGTTTGTGAAATGTTAAAAGGGGAGGAACTGGAAGTTGATCGATGGAGCGGGTGAGACAAAGATTTCTATTTTCTACTTGTTCACATTGTGGGGTGGGCAGTTTTGTTTCTCTCCAAGGTTGACCTGATGATGGATCAATAAGCTCAAAAGCAGGTGTAGTGTAAAGACGGTCGATCTGGTCAAACCCACTTATGTCATTTGTCAAACCACTCAATTCCGGAAAGCAAGCGGCAAATATATGAAATTAAAGGAACTAGATAGATAGGGATAGGGTAAAATATAATTACTACCTAATCACAGATTAATACTGTCCTAATTAAACACAAATTTACTCTCTGTCTCCCACTTTCTATTAACCCCTTTCTTCTAAAGAAAAAACTTAAACTTGGGGAGTATTGACAGTGACCACAATTTCTAATCAACAAATTGTAAATGTAGTATTACAAAGTGGTTTGGATGGTGAGTTTTTCAAATGACTCAATTTGATCTAATTGGCTTGGCTTGGCTCATCTCAAAATGTGAGACATTTGTTATGAAAACATTTTGTACTTTGCCCTATTTGGATGATGAATTTATGATTTTTTGCTTTTGTTTTGGAGGAGAAAAAACTCATCATTTCAATAAATAACCCTTTCTGTCATGCTAATTTAAATTGCCTCAATCCAATTGTTGCAATTCTATTTTATTGTGTTGTCAAACGGTATTATATGTCCTAGTTGTTTCATTTTGATGTAATTTGGATAAAATTTTCTCATCTAATTGTTGCATCCAAAGGACTCATACATCTTTCTCGCTTCACAATATTCTGACAATATATATTTTTGGTTATCGAGAATTAAGTAAACATTCTTTTCGTTCTCTCCAAAAAATAAATATATATTAATATACGACAACAATATTGATTATGATGATCCATGATTGTTCAAAAACAATATTGTTGGTTCATTTTATGGTGGAATTGCACCGAAAACCACTTGTAGCCCGACCAGTCTGTCCAACCCGATCCACTGTTATTAATGCTAAATTAATCTGTAAGGTTGGATGAGGACTTTATTTTGTGGACCCCTCTCTCTTTTGGGTTGAGTACAATTTTTGGATTACGCAACCCGTGGATACCTAACCCGACCCATGTTATATTTATTGTCTTAGGTGTACATATCCAAAACGTATTTGTATCATATACAAGCATATTTGTGAGAAAAAAATTATGATATTTTGTTATATTTTCTCCAATGGTCTCACTAACCTAATGCATCAATTAACTGAAAATCAAGACTGCACTTTTAGATACAAACTATGATTCACGTTGTCTTTTATCAATACAAGCTATGATTTGGTTTTAATTTTTTAAAAAAGTAAAATTTACGCCTCCGATTATTGAAACGACTAAATTCAAACCACCCGACTTGTGTACACACTTGATAAATCAAGTCACCCTTTTAATTAAGAGTTTAGAGAAATTTAGTAAGAAATTGATGCCCCCTAAGTGAAGACAGCTGCAATCCATTATAGTGCCACAAAATTATGATGCCATGTTCATGTTCTTGTCTCGATTCCTCAACTCGTGGCTTTACAACTCTCATTACATTAATATATTTTTTCAATTTAATTGCTCAGTGCATGTATTCCAAGGATCTCATTTATGCCCATTCTGATGCTGAATTGAAACCCGCGTTTGCCCTAAATAATTACCAAATAAAACCACTTCGTTTCTCGCATGCCTTCACTATGATTTCTGGGCTGCTCCAGACCCAATTCCACACGAAAACGTGAAACCCACAAGCCCACAAACAATTATTATTTTACGAAAAAACTAAAACCAGAATCAAAGCTGGCTCTCTTTCTCTTTCTTTTCCCTTTAATTGAACACGCATTTGCCATTTCCACGAGCTTTTCCACAGGGATAATTATCTCCTTAATTTTGTTTGCCAAAAACAAAATTAATAAACAATTACCCAATCGGATTAGCTTGCCAGTCACATTCATCCCATATATAATGATAATAACAATTAACTAATCAAAATTTTATTTTATTTTAATATATCGAACTCAAAGCTGTCTTTGGCTCTGGATTTGGCTTTGGTTTTGGCTCATCTATCGCAGAAGAAAACAAAAGAAAAATACGGTAACAGTAAAAATAGTAAAAAAACAACAACAACAACCAATCCGGCTAAGTACGTACTCCAATTAAATGGTGGCAGGCCTAAGGAAAAATAATTAATATTTTCAAAAGGAAACAAAATATTATTAATTTGAAAACTCAATCCCAGAATCCTTGCCAAAAACACCCACCTGTTCCACTATCACCAAGCTTAGCCTTACTACAAAATAAGAAACCAAAATTTCCATCCAAACCCAGAGAGGAGAGCTCTTCCCTTCCTTCTGCCACGCCCAAATTTCCTTCCAAAGTGGAAAAAGCTTCCATCTTTCCCTCCTCCATTGCTGCTCCTCCTCTTCATTATGCTCCCCCACGCTCCACTCATTCTCCCAAACCAGTTGCTTTTGTAGCCTTTCCGCCACAGCAATTTGATTTTCCCTCCATTCCAGCTTCTTCCAGAGAGAGGGCTCTCTGAGTTCCCATTTCTTCTCCAGATCTACGAGCGAGCAATATAAAAAGAAAAATGGTGGCGGAGACTTGGATACTGAAGATGGGTAACCAGGTGAGCAGCAATTTAAAGCACGCATTCCTCCTTGAACCCAGCAGCAAGAAGAAAACCCCCAGAAGGGCGGCGGCCACGGAACCCACCAAGCAAACAATTGGGATCCTCTCTTTCGAGGTCGCCAATGTGATCTCCAGAACCGTCCATCTCCACAAATCCCTCACTGATTCAGAGATCTCCAAGCTCAAATCCGACATCTTGGGCTCTCAGGGGGTCAGGAACTTGGTCTCCAACGACGATTCCCGCCTTCTGGAGCTTGCCCTGGCCGAGAAGCTAGACGACCTCAACAGAGTCGCCGCCGTCGTCTCCCGCCTCGGCAAGAAGTGCGTCGAGCCGGCCTTGCAAGGGTTCGAGCACGTCTATGGGGATTTAATTAGCGGCGCGATTGATGTGAAGGAATTGGGGTTCTTGGTCAAGGACATGGATGCCATGGTCAGGAGGCTCGAGAGGTATGTCCACGCCACTGCTAATTTGTACAGTGAAATGGAAGTTCTGACCGAATTGGAGCAAGCTACCAAGAAGTTTCAGATGAACCAGCACGAGGAAAGCAGGAAAGCGTTTGAACAGAAAGTGCTTTGGCAGAAGCAAGACGTTAGGCATCTCAAGGACGTTTCAATTTGGAACCAGAGTTATGATAAAATTGTGGAGTTGCTTGTTAGAACTGTGTGTACTATTTATGCTAGGATTTGTGCTGTGTTTGGTGAATCCATGTTGCACAAGGAGAACAGCAGTTGTTCTATGTCTTCGCTCTCTCCTTCTAGTGCCAAGGATGAATGCTGGGAAGTTTCAGGGCAATTGAAGCGACCCATTGTGCAGCAGAAGAAGGAGGCGAACAACAAGGTTAGGCCTCACCGGGTTGATTCCAGGAAGAATGGAGTTTCCTCTGTGCTTGAAGCTGGTGATGTCATGTTTCCTTGTGGGGCGAGCCCTGGAAGGATGTTCATGGAGTGCCTTAGCTTGTCTAGCTCAGTGTCAAAGCTGGATTACGACGATGACGAGGATGATCAAAGCAGCCAAATCTCAAGCTGCAAAAGTGTGATGAATTCTAACTTGAAGAGAGCGCTTAGCCATTTGAGTAGTGGGGATGAAAGGCAAGCGGAAACAAGCCCGTTTGGTGGACCGAAGAGCAGATTGACCATCTATGCCCCTCAAAGCACACTCGGAGGTTCTGCTTTGGCATTGCATTATGCCAACGTCATAATCGTGATCGAGAAGCTGCTTCAGTACCCTCATTTGGTAGGTGAAGAAGCGAGGGATGATCTGTACCAGATGCTGCCAACAAGCTTGAGACTTTCACTGAGGAAGAAGTTGAAGTCGTATGCGAAGAACTTGGCGATCTACGACGCCCCATTGGCCCACGATTGGAAAGAGAGCATCGACGGAATGCTGAAGTGGCTTGCTCCACTGGCACACAATATGATGAGATGGCAGAGCGAAAGGAACTTCGAGCAGCATCAGATTGTGGCAAAGAGTAATGTCCTGCTGCTCCAGACGTTGTACTTTGCTGACAGAGCAAAGACAGAAGCAGCCATATGCGAGCTTCTTGTTGGGTTGAACTATATATGTCGTTACGAGCAACAGCAGAATGCATTATTGGATTGTGCTAGTAGCTTCGACTTTGAAGACTGTATGGAGTGGCAGATGCAGTGTCGAGCTGCTTATTTTAACTGATAAAAGAAACACAGCAGGATGAAGATCTTGAGGTTTGTTATACTGAATTCACTTTGGCTAATTTGATTTTGGAGAAAAGATCCCAGTTGATTAATATTTTGTTGCTTAGCCAGAAGGTATGCCTTCTGTGGCTTTGGAAGGGAAGTAAGTATATAGGAATGAACTGCCATGATTTATCAAAGGGGATCTCTTTTCTAATTGTTGTATATTCTTGTGGGTTAGAATGTAATTGTCTGCTGCACAGCACTGCATTGTGGCAGCTTAGTGCTTTCTGTAAAATGTTTTTACCTGGCCAGCCAGTATCTTGGAAGGAAGGAATTAGTGAATTGACATGTCATACTTGTACAACATCTGGGTTGCCAGTCTATTCTCTGTTGAACTTGCATTTGCCTTCTGAATGACATCAGATATTTTGTACTTGTTGTTTCATGAAGTTCAGATGATTAGGAAGTTGCTTGCTTAAGCTGGAACAATCCTCCTTACACTAGGTTATCAAACATTACATTAGTTCATTTGGAATCAACTAGGGGGAAAGATCCAATATGAAATGCTGACTTGAAGCACACCATTAATGAGAATGAATGAATGAATGCTGAAGCTCTGACAGTCGTCAACTTCTGCAACAGGTTTCAAACTTTCCCCTGACACTGGCAATAGAAGTGGATGAACTCTCTTGTTCTTAACGGGTGGGATTTATTCACTATTAAAAAACCTACTGATGAGCACAAGTCTGAAAGTGGTTGGATGACCTTTGTTTGGGCTTCCTGGTTGATTTATGTGTTAAACAAGAGTTTTTTTTTTTTTTTTGTCAATTAATAAAAGACGTCACCTTTCACTCGATACTGCTGCTGCTCCTGGGGCCTAGTGAATTAAATATGGGGAGGGACACAGTTCACAACAGAAAGCGAGGAGGTTTCAGTTTGTTTAGGGTTGTCATTGTCTCTAGCAACTTCCTCTCCAACATTTTGTCTCTTATAGTAACCTTACTTACTTCCATGCGTAAGAATATCTCAAAACTAATCTGCTTTGGACTGAAATTGATGCTGTAGAAGAGCAGGAGGGTTTATAAGGACATTTTCAGTATTCTTTCGATATCTAGAATAACCGGGCTCGTTCTTGCTGTCAAAAGAGATGATGAGAGCCTCTCATTTAATAATATCGAGCAAGTTATTCTAAAGTCTGGAGATATCAGATCCAGTCACGTAACACCCCACTATCAGAGTTCGCTAATAATGACAGATAGCAACGAAATGGGAGCGGTTACGGTGCTAATTGTACAATAGTTAGCACCGTCCTAACCAAAGAAAAACTACTACTAGTTTGAATTAGTAGTGATTTAGCTTAGATGTTGTATTGATTTTATAATAATCCGTAGTGATTTCGTTATTTTTAGTAGCGTTTTTTGCTAGTTATCACGGTGCTAACCCCTATAACCCCTATAAGGATTATCACCTAATCCCATCCCCAACGAAACATCTCAGTTTTTATCAACAATGGAACATTGCACAAACTAGATGGAAAGGCAAAGTTAATGAAGCTTTTTCATTTCTTAGGGTGATCCAAAGAAAGGGGAGAGGTGGGGAGCGGTTGCGACAGTAGTAATCATCGTGGTTATTAAGGGTAGGAATGGTATTCTGGTATTTATTGTTTTGGTAGTGATGCTAAATTTTATTGGTAGCGTTTACATTGGGTAGGAATGATATTCTGGTGCTTATTGTTTTGGTAGTGATGCTAAATTTTATTAGTAGTGTTTACATTGTGTTATTAGTGTATATCTGTTTCGATGGATTGGTATTCAATATTGAAAATGAGTTGTTTGACCACTTCCAGAAATACCAATATCATTATAGAAATAAAACAAGAAATCAATGCCAAAACATAAAAAAAAACTATACCAATACAACCAATCGAGACGAACCAATACAACCAATACAACTACGGAAAAAGATATTATCATTACACGGCAAAAATTACCAAGATAAATAATAAATACCATTATAAGAATCAAACCAATACCAAAATCAACCAGCACCACTACTACAATAAAAACAAAACAATACTATTCCATAAATCAAATCACTACCAGTGTGAAGACCAAATAAATATCATTCCATACCATTATGAAAAGCATATATGGACTTTCAAAAACCAATTGTGAGAGATGAAAATGACATCGTCGTCGAATGATAAGGCTGCTGATGTGCGCCCTTTTTGTTCGATCGGAATTTCCATCCTCGTCGCTCCAAAGGCGTCTCCTCCACCGACGTCACCGTGGACCCCAACAGCAACATCTGGTTCCGCCATCACCATCTCACGCAACCGTCTCCCGAAGAGAGAGAGAGAGAGAGAGAGAGAGAGAGAGAGAGAGAGAGAGGAAGTAGAGAGAGAAAGCAACGGGAGGGTACACGCATCGGTGGTCGGGGGTAACCGGAGGGGAGGGAGGCCGCTGCGGTGGCCGACACGGAGTCATTGTCGGGGATGGTGCAGGCGGCCGGCGGGATTAGTGCGACGGAAGTGGTGGAGGCGGTTGCGGTGGGTTTGGCTGGAGGGAGGGTAGAACTAGGGTTTGAGTAGATTATATAGAATAATCGTGTGTGGTCACTTTTTCATTTTCAAAATTACCAAAAAAAACCTTAACTGTAAGATTAAAAAACAAGGCAAAATAGTTAATCAAATGGTATATATAGAGGTTGCCACCGTGATTACTAAAAAACAAGTAATCACCCTAACCCATTCCGAGGTGGTTGGGCATGTGGAGAGCATTGAAGGCATTGGTGGCTGGCCACTGGCCAGGGTAGACGGTAGCATTGATTGAGTGCGTCCGAGGGGGCACCATTACTGAACACTAAATCCTCCAAAGAGATGAAGGACACAATCACACACACACAAGAACACCACTGCTGCCGTATCTGTGTGTGTGGTTGCAAGCTCATTTAATTCATTGACAATGCCATTTCCAAAGCAAGAAACGCACCAGCAAGAAGCATTAAATAGAGATGGGGATTGGGGATCCTTCCATTTCCTTGTTGTTCTGCTGCTGCTGATTGGGTTTCATTGTGGATTCAAGTCAAAGTGGATGACGTACTACTAATTAGCTTACATGGTCTGATATGAAGTCAAGGAAGTTGCACAGTTTTGCAGCACACTCCTCGTCATCGCCATTCAGACCTCTCGTTCCTCTATCAATCATAGCCACCTGCTGTCGTAGCCAGAAACCCGTCCTTGTACATGTGGTCTAATTTAAGCTCGAGTTTGCTAGAGCCTAGATAACATAGCAGCAAACTTCTTTTTACTAATGAGCACATTGGTTTGCAGGCTTTTGCAGTGATAAGTAACTCCAAGACTATAACACTATGTTCCCGAAGGAATGGGAGGAAAATGGAGGGGAGGAGAGGGGACGGGAATTAGGAGGGGAGGGACAATTTGGAGGTTAAGAAAAGTGGAAGGAAAATGTTGTTTTATAAAGGAAAGTGGGAAGGAAAATGTATATTGGGAATTGTGATGTATACGTTATTTTATTGGGTATGTAATAGTGAAATCATTTGATTATATATAGATATTATTTTCATTGCTTATAAATTGTGAATTAAATTTTCACTTTCTTGCTAATTTTGTTCACTATTAAAAATCAAAAGTATATCATTTGAAAAAAGGTGTCAACCTATTATTAAAATTTCGTTTGCTATTTGTTGATTTATCAACATAGCAACTAAAAACATAAACAAATAACATATCACACTACACATACACAAACTCTTCTAAAACTAGGTCATCTACTAATACTAGACATATATAAATTCGTCCAATAGTCTGGTGAAACCGTCCATACGGTACAATTTCACAAACATTGATTTTAATAAGCAAATAAGATCACATTCCATAATTATATTTGCCTATAATTATCATGATAAGATCCTTTCCTAAATTATGTTTAACAATAAATAATTTATTTAGAAATAAAAAAGACCAAGAATATTTTAAAATACGAATCATAGACATGTGAAGTGCAATACTTATAAAAAGAAGTATCAATAATTATTACCAATGTTACAAAACATACTGTACATACGATTTAACCTAAAAAACTCGTACCGAAAGCAAACTCGGTAGGTGGTAGTTAACGATTGAAACTCTAGTAAGTTTTTCGATCCTTAATTATTATTATATCTTCTTATTACAAATTAACAATACAATTATCTTCCAAATTCATAATACTCCATGTTAAATAGGAAAAGGGTGAAAAGTTAACGGAAAACATCCCTTAACTTAAGAAATTAATATCTTCCAAATTCATAAACCCCCCTTATAAGAGAAATTACATACTCATTATGAAAAAAAACCAATAATAATATATCATATCATATACGAGGAATGGGTACCAAAAACTACATTGTATCTATCTATCTATATATATATATATAAACAAAACAAATAATATAACATACAAAGGAATAAATAACCAAAGAAGGAAGTGGTGGGCACCACCACCGTGACTCCACCAAGTCTGTTTTCTCCCCAAATTGGAGGGGCTGGGAGAACAGTAAGTTTTCTTTCCCATTTCCTTTCCTCTGGCACTGTAGCGGTCTTAAAAAACAAGGTAAAAGCCCTCAGGAATGGTGTTTTCCATTCAATCCTTCCCTTCCCCTCCATTTCCCTCTTAAAAAAAACAGAGTGTAAGTCTATAACCTTGCTTAGGGAGGCTTTCAGTCGGCCAGTTCACTTAGCTCGAACAATTATCAATTATACTATTCCAGATTTGTCTATATTGACTTATATGGGTCAACTGCCAAAACAAAACAGTTATCCAATTATGCATTTTCCTCGGCCAGTGGCGTGCGTAGCCAGGATTTCGTCTAAGATTGGTTCGCTTAGAAAAAAAACACACATATGATAAAATAATTTTTGTTAACTTTGCTAGTCATTCATGATATAATCTTATATTGGTAAATTTTGATAAATTAAAATACATTAGCAGGCAAAACTATCAAGAATTTTTGATTTAGTTAGTCGTTCTCTTTCGAATGTTGTTCTTTGTCAAGAACCGTTTAATATCAAGAATATCACTCTATGTACCAAACAACTATTAATGTTTTAGTTAGTCATTCTTTTTCGAATGGTGTTCTGTCAAGAACCGTTTAGTATCAATAATTTGAGTTGTTGAGAGAGTTTTAATAATGAAACTTATACCAAACAATAATTAATGATTTAGTTAGACGTTCATTTTCGAATGATGTTCTTTGTCTATAACCATTCAATATCAATAACTCGAGTTATCAAGAGATGTTCAATATATATCTTATAACCATTTACTAGCACGCTTCCTCATAAGAAAGTTAGCTTATACATAATTGAAGTGTGCACAAATCTGAATATCGTGTGCTTAAGAAATGAGGCCGCCAAGATTCGAGCACAAGACTTTTCGTTCAACTATTCTCAATTAGCCACCTCCTAATTTTCAATATCAATTAATTATTGTAACTAATTTAACCATTTTCCTTCCGATCCAGGACCCACCCTCTCACACTCTCCATCCGCCA